AAATGGTTCGAAAAGTAAACAAGGGACTTGATCAAAACTCGCGCCGCTGTAGCTCGTGAACAGAACATATCGCAATATTCCATTCGGCAAATATTGAAAAATGAGCTCGAGGTAAAGCCATTGAAATTCCAAAAACTGCAAGAACTTACACCGCAACAGAAAGCACAAACAACATTCGGGCAGCATGTGACGGTTTTATTGGCCGTTTGAAGGCCATATTCCGTGCCAAAGGTAACCAATTCGAACAAATCTAAACTTATTCTAAAATTTGATGCTATTTCCGATATTTTTTGCATTCATTCAATAAAATTAAAAAACCAACTTACATGGTTATGCTACTTTGTTCAGGTAGAAGGAAAGCATAACAAGTGAAGAACGATGAAAATGTTTATAAGTGAGGTTGTAATATTTAGAAGATTTTCCCAAAGAATTTTAGTTTTATTTAATTCTTTAGTCCCTCTTCTATTGAGCTTACGATCTCGTCACTTGGTTAAAAAATATTTTTTGTCATAGAAATTATTTTTAATATAACTTCTGGGGAGAATATCCCAGACAAAAAACATGGGAACTGATGACGATTGGTGGCTCTTTCCGAAACCTAGTTATTCCCTGCCTTACCCCCTGCTAAACATTACCATCGTTCTCCACTAACAAACATTGTTTTTATAAAAACAGCAATAAAGGGATTAATCCTGACCATTTTGTAACAACAAATTACTATGGTATCCTGAACAAACAAAGCCAACACTGTTCTATTAAAAATGTAAATATTATGGCGTTTGACTATGTTGCAGTTTGTTTATCTCACCCTGTGTATGGACTTTTTCACAGATCTCCTATAAATCGAACACCATCAGTCGATTTTTTTTATAAAATATTTCTACCTATACTTGAAAGGTCTTAAAAATATGACCAGCTAAAAGCACACCTTTTCAGATTTTCTATAGTTTGACCTCTAATAGACCTTCATTGGATAGAAGAAGTTCGAAAGGGTCTTAACCAGATCAAAGATATCCAAGGAATTTTTTTGTCGATAAAATATGCGCAATAGCCTTCTTATAGTCTAAGTGTCTTCAACAGGTCTTCAGATGATATAAAACTTTCATAGATGTTCTGGTGATTGGAGACCTTCAACAGGCTTTCTATGGATTTATAAACTTTAAGAGAACTTCCATGGGGAGACGACTTAAAAAAGACATTTTATAGTAAAAAGACCTTCAATTATAGCAAGAAATAGGCTGTAAACTGAAAATAGACATTAGAAACCATAAATTGGATAATTTATAATACCCTCCACTATTTTGAAGGAACTTGAAAATTTTCCAAAAAAAAAAAAAAATTCATCGTAACCTGTATTATAGGAGCTTCACAAAGACGTGCACCTATGTAGGCAATTTTCTGTCATAGGTTGTAGTACTCATTTCGAGCTTTAAATACGAAATTTGAAACAATTCCGTTAATAATGTCTCTAAAATACATGGTGGCTCTACGAAAACATGTACCAGCATATGCATTTAAAAATGCATATCATCAAAATACCCAATACCGGGGGTACAGTATCGTGGACCAATATAGCCCATCTTCGAACTTGACCTGCCTGCAGACAAAATACAGATCTGTGCAAAATTTTATCTTCGTTAGGTCTAATTTTTTTTCGATGAGTTACAAACGGAATGACGAACCCTCTATACTATGTATGGTGGAGGGTATAAAAAGCCTATATAATATGAACGTTGATATGTCTTCAAAAGAAATGAAATCGGTAATGTTTTGAAATGAACAAGGAATACAAATGCAAATTGGGATTCTTATAAAATTCAGTGTAAAATATTATTCATAATTAATCGAAGCGGATAATTGCAAGCATAGAACATTGAAATGCGGTGTACAAGTTTGCACTCCAGCAGTGAATATTTTGTTCAGAAATATCTGGTAGTCGATATAATAAAGATATTTCCAATAAAGATAAATATAATAGAGATAAAATTGCCTTACTCTCTGACAACAAAGATCGTCTAAAATTATCTTATTATAGTCTACTGTTTATATTTCCATTTCGCATCATCAAATTTTATTTAATTGCGCTTATATACAGATGAAAATATTTGTGTTACTTTTATAAACAAATTGATTTTAGTTCCCATGATATAAGTGTAAAATGTCTTGTAACAATTGTTTTTTTTTTTTTTTCTAATACTTAAATCTTTAATTGAAAAGAAGAAGTAAATTCAAATAGTTAACGGCTAAACCTTGCCAAAACGGTTTTAGTGGAGACACCCACCCATACAATGTTAAGTTAACAGAACAGCACAAAAATACTGTGATTGGTAATAATGTGTATATTAAAGTGGGTACAATTTTTCGATATACAATTATTTATTTTCCCCCCAAAAATATTCCACAATTTAACATATTAAAAAATATATTTGTTAAATTAAATTTATCATCTAACACCAAAAAATATCACTGTAACATTTTACGTCGATATGTCCGTCTGTTCAAATTATATTAGAAATCCCCCTATTAAAGATAGAACTTTGAAATTTTGCACAGTCATTGATAGTAGTCCTAGCATGGACGGACCACGTTTCAATAATAGTATCTCCTGACTTTCGGGTATTGAGATTTTGGTCTCAATTTTCAATTGGGTAGATTTACACCTCCCCAAAAAGATTTAATATGTGCTTATTTTTTGGTATAAACCCGTAACATTATATTTCCTATTTTTCGGTATTTTGACGGGGTTGGCCTAAATTTCTTACCAAATAAGCTGTAATTTGATATATCAGGTTATTTATGGGTTCATTGGTTCCACTATATGACGGAACTTTAAAACTTAAGGGATTTAGATGATAGCCAACGTGGACATAGATTGGTTTTTTTCCGTGTGAAGGGGTAAACGAGTTCGTGCCGGTCAAGCTTTACATCGTTTTTACCATACTATAGAGCGTATTTGAAATTTGTCATTCCGTTTAGAGCTCCTTGACATATGCATTTTCGACCCCACAAAGTATAATTTTTTGATCAGCATAAGATTTTATGTCGATTTAACCATGTCCGTCCGTTTATGGAAATCTCTCTAACTTAGGAACGGAATGAAGTAGGTGGACAAAATTTCACTCAAACGTATTTTAGGTCGGTAGAATTGTTGGTGTGGAAAATGGGCTATATAGATCCACGTTTTGGTAATTGACCCCATATAACGGTAACTACCTATATGCGGTGTTGATAATATGTACTATCTTCTCTGACTCTATATGTAGGTCCACATTTGTCGTTTTTGTACCTAACAATACTCGGTAGTTTGATGATTTATGTTACATTTTTGTAAGGAATTATTCCAAATTTGGTATTTAAAATTTGTATAAGATCCGATACCTTTGTGTATCCCCCATATAATGGTACTTCCCTATATTTGGTGTCCGTCCGTCTGTCTCTCTGGCTGGTGCGCATGATAACTCTCGAACGGAGTATCGGATTTGGTCCAAACTGGTACATCGTAATATTTTTGTCAAACTTAGGTCGAGTTCGGAGATGGGCAATATCGGTTCACTCCTTCTGGTACCTCCCCCACCACAGGTCAACATTTTCAAAAATATATTTTCTGCAAATAAAGAGAAACGATGATCCGATTTTGATCCATCTTTGCAAATCCTAATAATTGCATCAGTGCTATGTCAGGTGCAAAAATGGACAATATCGCTCCACTCCATGAAATACCTACCCCACAAAGGGTCAACATTTTGAATAATTATAACTCTCTATTTTTATTAACCCAAGGTTTGGTGTGAAGATGGAATATATCGGTCCGTTCCTTCTAGTACCTCCCCCATAAAGGATCAAAGTATTGAATAACAAAAACGGCTTTAAAATCCGAAATAAGTATCCGGTTCTCTTCAAATTTCACACATCCAAATATTTTTCCTGACACAAGATCTTTTGTAAAGATGATATACATTTGCCTACCCCATCTGGTAGCTCACCCACAAAGGGTACAATTTCCAAAACTTACATCTGTCATAATTTGCGAAACAACTCGGCGATTCTTTACAATTTGCAATATCTAAATAATTCTCTTAACCAGAAATCTGATATGAATATGTAATTTATCTAAATTTATAATTTCGCATAAAATTGGATATAAATGTTCGATTTCCTTCGAACTTTGCACACACCAATTTTTTTTATCTGTATTATATGAAATATGAAAATGGAATATTTTGGTCCGCTATATCTTTTACTTCACGCATATTTCCACATTTTCCAAAAATTTTCACATATTTCATATAAAGTATAGGATGTAGTCGATATAGTCCAAACCTGGCACGTTGTAATATTTTTATCAGCCTTAGGTCAGATACGAATTGGGCAACCGCTTCGGAACGGTCCTCCATAAAGGGTCAACATTTTGAATAATCATAACTCAAGGCTGGGGTATACATCTCTTTACTTATCGTACTAAAAATAGTAATTTTTCTTGATACGGATTCGGGAGAATTTTACCACCACTTAATTAGTTAAAGGTTGCAAGGAGTTTTCCAATTTAAAAATACTGATGTTTTAGTTGAACCCACTTTAATATCCCAAATTCAACAACAGATGTTAACAAATAACTCTGTTGACAGCAAACGGTTAACAGAGCAACAAAATCCCAACAGCAACTGATTAACATAACAGATCAGCATCATGTGAAAGCTGTAAAGAAAATCCTCTCTGTTAAATACGAAATGGGAGAGGCAGGGGATGGCAAGAAAAATCCCGATCATTTCCATATCGATTGGCGCTCATTCGTTTTTTGTTGTACTGTTATTATTGGCAATTTTCACATTTCTTTTGCCTTTAGTTAATGATGCTGATGCTGCTCTTCTCGCTCTCTCTGATGCTCTCTCTCTCTCTGTGGGATGGATGGAGGGAGGTATGGATCTTGTTGGGGCTGCGTGTGTGTGCTCGTATTGTGTGTTTTTGCCGACTTCAAGTACTTAGCCATTGTGATGGCAAGCTATTTGTTCAGTTTGTTAGTGAAGTTCGTCGGACGCTGTCGATCGATCCAAACGCAGCAAATGTTCAACAAGTGTTGCCATTGCCTTCGCCGTAGTCGTCGTCAACGTCAACCCCTAGATAATCGGTAATCGCGTTACGGATTTTGTTGTTTGATTTGAATTTTTGCTTTGGTTTTTGATGTTTTGTGCCTGAATTGTTGGCATGATTTGAATGGTTGATGTTGTTAATTTGTTGTTAATTATTTAGTTTAGTTTAGTTGGTGTTTGCTTAATTTGTTGTTGTGAATAAATAATAAAACAAAATAGATCCCGCATCGCAGAAAACTAATCTGCTGGAAAAAAAGTAAACAAACTGTTGTTGTAATAAATTACCTTCACTCACTCAGCAGCCAGTCAGTCAGCCAGCCAACCAACTCAGCCATCCGCCACCCCAGCAAACAATCAGTCACCATTTGGGAGTCACACGGTTGTGCAATGCCAAACCAAAGTAAATAAGAGAAGCAAGTGATCGCCGTTTAATGTTCTGAGTTTTCACTTGAGCTGATTGGTGGTTGCCTGGCGGGCGGCTGGCGCTTTGTGAGCTAATGTAAATATAACACCAACAACTGCAAAAATAGGATTCAAATATCTCCGCCAAGAAAACAAAAATAAACAAATATCGAAATACCTGAGAATTTCATAAATCATCTGATACCCGACAAGATAATTCATGTTTACACATAATTTTGTTTTCACTGCAACTTTGTTTCAGGAGAGCAATTAAAGCCAATTTATCCCCGTTCCCAATTTCAGAAATATTTTGTAAATATTTAATTTTATTCCAATTTACGTTCAACTGAATTTGAATGAAGATGTCACCACAATTTTTTTTTGCATTTCAAATTTTTCCTCGTGAAATTCAAAAAAAAAAAAAAAAACAGATTTTCAGAATATTAATCAAAATATTTGCATTTGAGATCGCACCACACCCTCCCAAAAGGGAATGTATTTTTTTTCTAAAGTATAGGTATGTGGGTAAATTATGATATATATGTATGTATGTATGTGTGTCTGTGATGGTGTCAGTGACAATCATTGACTAGCCAGCCGCCTCTATGACTTTTAAATTGTTCCGTTCATTGTTTTTATTATTTTGACGCGCCTATTTAGAAATGTCTGTCCACATTTAGTTTTCTGTGGCGTCTACTTTCATGCGAATATGTAATCAATAACACAGGGCTACAGTTTTAAGTTTTTTTTTCCAAGAGTAAATATATAAAAGGCCCCGAAGATGCCAGTATAAAGGAATGCATTCCGAAACTATTTCGGATAAACAAAATGGAAAAACAAGTAAAAAAAACAGCAAAGTTCGGCCGGGCAGAGTTTTTAATACTCTCCACCATTTAAAAGGAACTTGAAAATTTTCAAAAAAAAAAACTTCCGAAAACTACCTCCTAAATGAAAACCGTTAAATGGAGATTATGCGAAGAGGTGAACCTGCCTACGGAATTTTTTGTCATAGGCTGTAGTACCTATTACGAACTTCAAATACCAAATTTGAAACAATTCCGGTGAATAATGTTGCTAAAATCACCTGAATACCGAATATCGGAAGGTACCGTTATATGGAAGATATATGAAAACATGAACCTACAAACGATTTTTTTTGCCATAGGCTGTAGTACCGATTACGAACTTTAAATACGAAATTTGAAATAATTCCGATAAATAATGTCGCTGAAATCACGAAAATCCCGAATATCGGAAGGTACCGTCATAATGGTGATCTATACGAAGACGTGGACCTGCATAAAAAAATGTTTGACATAGGCTGTAGTACTCATTACGAACTTCAAATACGAAATTTGAAATAATTCCGATAAATAATGTCGGTAAATCATGAAAATCCCGAAAATCGGGGGTACCGTTATATGGAGGCTATACGAAGGCGTGGACCTGGATAAAAAAAATATTGTCATAGGCTTTAGTACCCATTACGAACTTCGAATACGAAATTTGAAATAATTCCGGTAAATACTGTCGCTAAAATCATGAAAATACCGAATATCGGGAGGTACCGATACTGGCCCATTTACGAACTTAATCTGCCTACTGGTGAACTATGCAAATTTTTAGTCTATCTCAATTCTTTCGGAAGATAGCGTTCGAATTTGAAATTAACAGAATACCGAATATCAGGTTGCTATAGGGAGAACGTGGACCTATATAGACAATGTTGTGTCTCAAGATGTAAAATCTATAACAAACCCTAAATACTACAGTTGGAACAAGTTTTTGAAAACTTTAGCTAACATTATGAAAATGCTGAATATCGAAAGGTGTCATTATATGAGGGCTATACGAAAACGGACACCCCAGACGCAACGCAAACTGTAGGCTAACAGCTCTACGTTAAACAAGGTGGGTTGTATTTTGATGTCCTTTCGTCTGTCCGTCCGATATGTGTTTGGTCTGCAGGACTTTTGGTAAAATGGGCTATATTGGTATATTGTTTCAAATTTCGTATATGTAGGTCGTAACGGATACTACAGCCTGCGGCAGAAAACTGCCAATGCAAGTCCCTATATTCGGCATTTGGTTTAAATCTAGTTAAGTAAAAACAATGACATTTTTTAGTGGTAGGTGTATTTACCCTGATTCCGGGAAACTATTTTTTTTTTTCTTGGGGGATGGACTCAGGACCCCAGATTTCTGACCCGAAACTCCGGGTTCAAACCCGAGCTAGAACCGTACCCACTTACCCGATATAGAAAGCTTATAAAAATACCTATCCAACATGTGGTGACATGAGGGGATTTTTGAACGTTTTCGGAAGTTATAGTAAAATTATCAATTTTTTGGATTTTTTATAAAACCCCCAAATAAGTCGAAAAAGGCCCATTGTGGGGGTCAACAAAATTGTTGCCAAATTATAGCTGACACCCTCAAAATTGCCCTTTCTCGACTTTTTGGAATTTTTTTTTTTAAAAACCGGGTCAAAAAAATCGATAGTTTCCGAGTCGATTAAAAAACCCCATCATATTGTACAGGTATTTTTGTAAGCTTTCTATATCGGATAAGTGCATATGGGTCTAGCTCGAATCTTGACCCCGGACTTCCGGGGTCAAGAGAGAATGAGATAAAATTTTCCAAACAATATTTGTTTGGCCCAAGGACGAATCCTATTGAAATTGGAGATAATCGTTAAAAATGTAGACATAGCTCCCATATATCTTCGTCCGATTTGCCTTTTATTGTGCACCAAACGTGTAATATCAGCCCGAATAGTATGGAATTTTGCACATACAACCAAATTAGGCATGAAAATAAATATGCTCAATTTAATCGAAATCGGTTCAGATATAGCTATAGCTCCCATATATATTGTTCATCCGATTTGTTATTTTTGTCCTCCGCAGCCGTAATATGCACTCTATAACAACAATATTTGGGGAAATATATCAAATACAGCTCAGAAATATCTTTGCCAAATTTTATCGAGATCGGTTCCGATTTGGATATAGCTCCCACATATAACTTCGTCCGATTTACCTTTTATGGTGCACCAAACGTCTAATGGGATGAAATTTTGCACTTACGACCGAATTGAGTCTAGAAGCTAGTATGTCAAATGTGGTGAAGATCGATTCAGATATAGCTATAGCTCCCATATATATTGTTCATCCGATTTGTTATTTTTGTCCTCCGCAGCCGTAATATGCACTCTATAACAACAATATTTGGGGAAATATATCAAATACAGCTCAGAAATACCTTTTCCGAATTTAAAAGATACAAATGCTTCGGCATATTTAGTCCTTTGAACTTTAAATTATAATTATAATCATAGCGTGTATAATAGAATTCTCCCTTTTAATTGTTATGCGGAGCTCTACTAAATTAACAAAGTAGTGTAGAATATCATAAAATTGGCCCCGCCCGACTTTAGGACTTTCTTTATTGTTTTTTTTTTTTTTTGAAAACTTCCAAATTTTTTCCAAATGTTGGAGGGTATTCAAAATTCGGTCCGACCAAATATACAGCTTTTTTACTTATTCTCCTTCCCCTCCTCTAAACCCCCTTCCACTGCCTCTTAAATTTTTATTTTATTTATTAGCGTTTTTTATCTCCAGTAGATTAGTGTAATTAGTTCGATGTGCAAACCTACGTACGTGAGATCGTTTGCAATAGTTTTCTCATCTTTCCACACACACACACACCCAAACACACATACATTGCACTAGACACACATACGCCGACGCATACAGGCGCAATTCAAAGTTATTCAGCAGCTACAGATGATATGTGAACATTTTGTTGTTAATAATTCAATTGTTATTTGTTTTTCTTTCGACTTAATACGAAATGTTTTGGTGTTGTTGTTGCTGGTGTTTTAATTTTCGTGACATTTTATTCGAGTTACAGCAACATTTTTGTTTTGCCACAGTCCTAGAATGAGAGTGGATCTCCCCTCTCCCTCTCCCATATAACGGCGGTGGCGGCGATGATGATCACCATCAGCATCACTGTTGCTGTTCATGTTGTTGTTGCTGTTGTCGCTGTATTATGAAAATTAATTGTCGCCGCTGAACCTACCAACCCAGCGCAACCGTCGAACATTCGTTTCAGTTTCATCGCAGAAGTTTTAGATTGAAGACGAACTCGAACGGAAATTAATATTTAAGCAAAACTAAACTAAAATTGATTAACAACAATTAGAATAAATAACAATAACAACAACAACTACAACTACACAAAAAAGACATACGTAAATAAATCTCAAGTGATCTAAAATTGTGTGTGTGTTTTCCTCCTCTTCTGAATTTTTCTGATTTTTCCTCCTTCTGTTTAGTTCAGTCACTTCAGCATCACAAAATGCCTCGGATCATGCCAAAATTGAACGTGTGACGTCGTTTTGTCAATTTTTCCCTCTTTTTTTGTTGTCGTTCCGCTTCTTTTCGATTACGTCGCATTTAATTTTCACCATTTCACATTTTCGCCAACATTTCATATCATTTCGCCTCTTTTAGTCATTTTTAAGAGATAAAAGCAAAAAAAAAAAAAAAAAACAGAAGAAAAGCAAACAAAGTGAGAACCCCGTAAAAATAACAACAGAATATCAAACATTAATTCCCGCCTGCCAGACAGCCAAGAACCCAGAAAAGAAAACAACAGCAAAAACAAAAAACGTAACGTAATTTGTTTGTTGCAGCATTTAAGTTGTTGTTGCTTTTCTTTTGGTAAATGCGTGATCGCCATCTAAACAAAATGCCGCGTGGTGGTTCAGCAACAGCGTAAGTGTTAAATACTTTTATTATTATTATTTTTTTTTTTTTTTGTTATTGCGTATACGCCGGATAAATAAAATACGACCCTGCTGAAATTAGTTTGAAGGAAATGTTGAAGGGCATTATGAAAGCCTAATACACTACATTAAGTCTTGAAGATCTATGAAATGTTTTTAGCAATATATAATTAAAGAAAATCTTTACCTATAGAAGGTTCTTGGACATAATAAAGGACTAGATAAAGTTTTCTAGGCCTACAGAAGCATTAGGCGCTCTTAGACTTGAAGACAACCTGAGACCCCCTCAAGAGAGCTTCTTTTAACTATGTCATAGGTTTTCGACCCTTATCACGTTTTCATTGGATTGAATTTCTTATATAGATCTGGTATGAATAGAATTCCAGATATCCTCTATAGATAAACGATAATTCCCCGAACTTCTACGAATATTATAAATTCCACAAGCCCTCTAAGGGTAGAAGACTCCTTACAACTCTTTATTGGACAAAATATTCTCCTTATGTCTTTCTTGAATAGAAAACAATCGATAGATCTTTCACCAACAACAGCCTCCAAAACTGTCCAAGACATTCCAGAGCTATAATTACTTCTATAAATCTTCCTCACATTTTAGAACATCCATAGATTTTCACAAAAAAATTAGATGGCTTTCTGAGAAAAGGCACAAGAACTTCCAAATTTTTTTCAAAGAGGAAAACACTTCCAGATGTTACTCAGCTCTTACAAAAGTCCTCCTTAAAAAAATTCCAGGGGTCTTCTATAGCATGAACGTCTCATCAAGAAGAATTTCCAGATGAAAGGTCAGAAGTTCTTTATAAATAGGAGATTTTTATAGGTAAATAACGCTCCATATCATTAGATACAGTCTTCCATAGATAGGCCCTTAGTACATGATTTTTTCTATGAAAGACCTGCGTAACCCAGCTCTATTAACACCACATTTGCTAATTTACTTATTTCTTATTTTTATACCCTACACCACAAGGTGGTCAGGGTATTATGTCTTTGTGCATTCGTTTGTAACATGAAGAAGGAAGCGAGATAGACCCATAGTTACTTTTGAGGATCGCCATAGAATCACTTTCTGAGTTGATTTATGCATGTCTGTCCGTCTGTCCGTCCGTCCGTCTGTCCATGTATTCTTGTGAACAAACTGCAGGTCGCATTTATTATCCGATTGAGATAAAATTTTCCAAGCAATATTTGTTTGGCCCAAGGACCAACCCTATTGAAATTGGAGATAATCGGTCAAAATTTAGATGTAGCCCCCATATATATCTTCGTCCGATTTGCCTTTTATTGTGCACCAAACGTGTAATATCAGTCCGAATAGTATGGAATTTTGTACATACAACCAAATTAGGTCTGAAAATAACTATGCCCAATTTTATCGAAATCGGTTCAGATATAGCTATAGCTGCCATATATATAGTTCATCCGATTTGTTATTTTTGTCCACCGCAGCCGTAATATGCACTCTGTAACAAAAATATTTGGGGAAATATATCAAATACAGCTCAGAAATATCTTTGCCAAATTTTATCGAGAACGGTTCCGATTTGTATATATCTCCCATATATAACTTCGTCCGATTTACCTTTTATTGTGCATCAAACGTCTAATATTTGCCCAAATGTGATGGAATTTGACACTTACGACCGAATTGAGTCTAGAAGCTAGTATGTCAAATTTGGTGAAGATCGGTTCAGATATAGCTATAGCTCCCATATATATTGTTCATCCGATTTGTTATATTTGTAACCCGCAGCCGTATTATGCACTCTGTAACAACAATATTTGAGGAAATATATCAAATACAGCTCAGAAATACCTTTGCCAAATTTTATCGAGATCGGTCCGATTTGGATATAGCTCATATATATGTTTTTATCCGATTTCAAATTAACTGTGCACCAAGTCCGAATTTAAAAGATACAAATGCTTCGGCATATTTAGTCTTTTGAACTTTAAATTATAATTATAATCATAGCGTGTATGATTGAATTATCCCATAAAAAATTTGTATTGTTATGCGGAGCTCTACTAAATTAGCAAAGTGGTTTAGGTTATCAAAAAGTCGGCCTCGCCCGACTTTAAGTCTTTTTTTACTGGTTTTTATCTGTATTAGATGGAGTGTGAAAATGGAACATTTCGGTTGATTATATCTGGTACCTGACGCACATTTTATAATTTTCTACTAAATTGTCAGATATCTCATATAAAGTGAAGGTTGTAACCATTTCAGTCCAAACCTGGCACGTTGCAATATTTATATCATAGTTTTTTAGGTCAAATACGAAATGGACAATATTGAACCATTCCTTCAAAACCTACTCCATAGAGGGCAATCGCTTGAATAATCATAACAGAAGTCAAAATATATTTTGATAATCGAACATGGGCTGAGGAGCGTATACATCTGTCGGCAAAACCCACTGATAGTTTTTAACTTATTATGGCGCTATCCTCCACGATGATTATATTAATTAATATATCTGCCAATATCCAGAATTAATTATTATTCAATTCACACTTTGTGTCCATAGAATAGAATGAAAAATATTTTTGAAAAAAAAAACAAGTAAAAAAGTTGTAAGTTCGGCCGGGCCGAAATTTTAATACCCTCCACCATTTGGTACAAATTTGACAATTTCCAAAAAAAAAAAAAAAAAATCCGTTAAAAATTCTGTTAAAATCTTAAAAATACCGAATGCCTATACGACGACGTGGACCTGCATAAGCAACTTTTGTCATAAGTTATTACAATATTTTAATGCGAAACTTGAAGAAAAATCTGTTTATAATGTAGCTAAAATCATCAAAACACCGAATATAGGGGGTACCGTTATATGGGGGCTATGCGAAGGCCTGGACCTGCACAGACAAATTTCTGGCATGGGCTGAAGTATCCTTTACGAACTACACATGCGAAATTTGAAACAATCCCGGTAAACAATGTCGCTAAAATCATCAAAATACCGAATATCGGGGGGTACGGTATATGGGGGCTATATGATATCCTAGACCTATTTCTGTTTTATGCTACAGCATCTATTACAAACTTCAAATAGCAAATTTGGAACGATTCCGTTACCTAATGTCGCTAAAATCATCAAAATACCGAATATAGGGAGGTACCGTTATATGGGGCCTATACGAAGACGTGGACCAACACAGATTATTTTCTGTCTTAGGCTGTAGTATCCATTACGAACTTCGAATGCCAAATTTGAAACAATTCCGGTAAATAATGTCGCTAAAATCATCAAAATACCGAATATCGGGAGGTACCGTTATATGGGGGCTATATGATATCCTAGACCTACATGGCCCATTTACGAACTTAACCTGCCTACTGGCAAAATATACATGTGTGCAAAATTTTAGCCTTCTATCTCAATTTGTTCGAAAGATAGCGTGATTACAACAGACAGACTGACGGACAGACAGACAGACAGACAGACAGACAGACAGACAGACGACAGACTGTGTGAGATGATCATTACTTATTAATCAATCTCTCTTTGCTCTCCTTTCTCCTAAATTCGCTAAATTGCTGACCAGCACACCATGCATACCTCAGTGATTATCAGATTCGCCAGCGTCATCCTCATGCATTGAACTCAAAATTGTCACGAATTTGTGCATGTTTATTTTCTGGCTAATTAACGTAACTCTAATAAAAGAAAACCTAACAACAACAAGTTAAAAAGCAGTAAGTTCGGCCGGGCGAAACTTTTAATACCCTCCACCATTTGCAACGAATTTGGAAATTTTCAAAAAATAAAATCCTTAAAAAATTCTGTTAAAATTTTAAAAATACCGAATATAGCCGTTATTTTTGGGGTCTATACGACGTGGACATACATAGGCATTGTTGGTCATAAGCCATTACCATATTCAAATTCGAAACTTGAAATAAACGGTGAACAATGTAGCTGAAATCATCAAAATACCGAATATAGGGAGGTACCGTTATATGGGGGCTATACGAAGACCTGGACCTGCACAGACAATTTTCTGTCACAGACTGTAGTTCCCATAACGAACTTCAAATACCAATTTTAAAACAATTCCGGTGAATAATGTCGCTAAAATCATCAAAATACCGAATATAGGGAGGTACCGTTATATGGGGGCTATACGAAGACGTGGACCTGCACGGATAATTTTCTGCCTTAGGGTGTAGTATCCATTTTGAACTTCAAATACCAAATTTGAAACAATTCCCGTGAATAATGTCGCTAAAATCATCAAAATACCGAATATCGGGTGGTACCGATATATGGGGGCTATACGAAGACGTGGACCTACATGGCCCATTTACGAACTTAACCTGCCTACTGGAAAAATAAACATGTGTGCAAAATTTTAGCCACCTATCTCAGTTTGTTCGAAAGATAGCGTGATTACAACAGACAGACAGACGGACAGACAGACAGACAGACACACAGACAGACAGACAGACGGACATGGCTAAATCGTCTTAGAATTTTACGCTGATCAAGAATATATACACTTTGTTGGGTCTGACATGAGTATTTCGAGGAGTTACAAACGGAATGACAAAATTAATATACCCTCCATAGTATGGTGGAGGGTATAAAAATTGTTTATATCCACAACAAAATTCCTTTGGCAAAACATGGATTTCCATCTACCTCAAGCTGCATATTAAAAATGCAAATACTTTTGAAAGTGCGAATTTTTAATGTAATAGGTCTAACCAAACAGTGTGAGATGATCATTACTTATTAATCCAACTCATAATCTGATCTCTCTTTGCTCTCCTTTCTCCTAAATTCGATAAATTGCTGACCAGCACATCATGCATACCTCAGTGATTATCACATTCGCCAGCGTCATCCTCATGCATTGAACTCAAAATTGTCACGAATTTTTGCATGTTATTAACGTAACGCTAATAAAAGAAAACCTAACAACAAAACACAAAACAACGTCCAAGACAACAAAAACAACAACACT